TTTCTATCAGAAACTAACCAAAGCTATCATCGAACCTATTAGATTTTAACTCAATAATCTAAAAGTACTGTGCTCTCTTTCTGCGTTCCTGAGAAATCTCCCGAGTTTGATTCCATGTGAGTTTCTGTGTGCATACCATTTCCAAGACATTGCGCATATGGATTATTAGTAAACCTAGTATTTTACTCTCGCCATTGAATCGTCTAGGAATATAGTAATTTCCTATCTATCCTCTCTCTTACCATTAACTAAACCTAGACCTTAAAAAAAACAAATGGTCATAAATTTTAAAATTCTTCCGTGGTATTCAGTTACTTTTTTGGCTATTTTTGTCATTTCTTTACATATACATCTCCAATGGGAAAAATAATTTGTGTTTGTGACTAAACAAAAAATTATGGGATCCGTTGTATAAACACATAAGTAGTTCAAACTAAGCTAGCAATACCGATGATTCTATATATTTGTTAAAAAAATGAATAAATCTTACATGTTTCTCTGAATTTACCACTTTTATACTCCCTCTCACATACATACATAGTCTTATACATATATACATACTCATACTATCTTCCAAACCTCTCTCCCTGTCATGCTACTACACATTGTAATGTGTACTATATTGTATCCCAATACTAACCAATTTATGAATATGAGGTATTCGCTAATTTCTTTACTTCATTTCAGGTTTTACCGCCAGTTTTAAATAACAATGATGGTAATAAAACCCAGTTACATGCTTTATGAGGCAAGTCGATACAAAAGTAATACAGAAAATGCAATATATACAAGAAATAATACAAATTTACATTTGTTATGAACATGGAACTAATTTAAATAAGTTGTTTAATCTTTTGTCGATGTGTAATGAACGATTTCCCAGTGATCAAAGACACACACATATTCATCTGTAACAACAGCTAAGTTTGGATAAAGTCAAGAAGCTTTTTCCAGGAAAACACAAGGGAAAATATGTACAGTTAATGTGAATATGAAATGACAAATAATTATCCAAATTTAATTTTTTTAAGGCAAATAATATACAGAATTTAAAATTGCAATCGTCTGCCAGTGCTTAATTGATGACGTGAATTTTAATGTACTTCCATGATAGTTAAACACGAAACTGAGACGTGTTAATGAGATTTTAGAATAAAGTAAAAGATCAGTAGGTTGAACAAATTTTTTTACACAAAATGTAGTTTGAAACAATTAGTCCGTTTGATAAATTTCGATAGCGTAATAATAAGAAGACGAAGATTATCAGAACTATGTGATGATATATTAGCCCAATACATTTCAAACAATCTGATCACACACAATATACTTGTTAAGAACATTTGTCAACTAGACTAGAAATAGAGGATAAGAGGAAACAAAGATAATAAAGAAAACAGTATGAAAAACAATTTAAAACCTCATCACTCTGGATAAGCTAATATTACCAGGGTAGGTTGAAGGTGAGAACAAACTGTTTTTGAATATATGAAGGAAGTTTGAATTTTCGTATAGCTAAGGTCTCAATAAATCTTAGTATGTGCCCTTGTACACTTTTGTACAACACCACAAAAGCCGTGTTAAGATCAGTCATATGATCTGTTTCAACTGGGTTTGGCAACAGAGGATGATGAATGTTTATGATCTTCTATTCCTATTGGGTCATGGTTACTCTTGTCTTTGTATGTGTGACCAAACACATACACATATGAATTGATAAACACAGTGAGGTGTGACGTAATCGTCTTCATATCGTTTAGGTTTTTGGTGAAGCAGGGCTTGTTTTTACTTTGTTAATGACCTTTGCTGCATAGCACAACAAGGGCGGCCTGCTTGAGCATCTGGGCTTCCTGTTCCTGCCATCCAGATATTTCAACAAGTTATCTATTTTTGTTTGTTTTAATATATCATTATGTTTATTAATCGCATAACCTATTCTGCTGCGTTTCTGAAAAGTGTACAACCTTTCGTTGTCAGAGTTACAAAAAACTCAATAAGAGACAATGTGGTTGCTGGCAATATACAGCGAAAAGAATGCACATTATTCAGATGTTCATTTACTGAACTGCCAACATCTAACTGGTGATCACTCAACATTTATCGCCAGGACCGACCAAGAAGAAAAAAACGGAAACTTGTTGAAATACTTTACGCTGAGAATTCTATATTGTACCAAAAATATAATATTGAATAAAGCTAATAATAATAATAATAATAATAATAATAATAATAATAATAATAATAATAATAATAAATGATTTAAGCCTATAAAGAGGGATAATATATATTTGTACAATCTCAGCGAAAGAATTTGAAGTAATTCCAACATTTCACCTGGCAATCTGGTCCAAGCTTTTTCAAAGAAAATATAATTTTGTTGTTTGATTATATTTTCCTTGAAAAAGCTTGGACCAGATTGCCAGGTGAAATGTTGGAATTACTTCAAATTCTTTCGCTGAGATTGTACAAATATATATTATTCCTCTTTAATGACTCACATTAACATCATATTGTGAAGCTATTCGTTCAAATTTAGACGAAAGTTCTTATTTAGATTTAAGCCTTTGTTTCAATAAAAAACATTTTAATCACCTCTAAACGGTGAGGTGATGTAGACAAGATTTTTGTGCCAAGGCTATAGTAGGTCTCACTGTACTATGGGCTTTCCATCTATTTATGCATTTAAGAGCATACCCATTTTCTATTAATGCTTGACTTGGCAACCTAACATCATCATCAATGGCGTCATTTTTACAAATACGATCAAGTCTGCTAAACAGACACCTTAACAAACCCCGTATGTACTGCACTGGGCAGTAACTATAGTAACTAAGGTATTGGCCTGTCCAAGTTGGTTTTCTAAAAATGGATCATTTGACTGAATTGTCTTCTCGTCTACTTAGAAGTACATATAAGAAAGGAAGTTAGTCGTTCTTCTCCTCTGGTGTGGTCCTGAAGTGTTAAGTTTATTCAATAAACAATTCATATCTTCCTATCTTTCATAGATAACTAAGATATCATTCACATATCTCATATAAAGAGACATGTTTTCGATGAGGTCTTCAGCTAGATTCGCAACATGTGTCATGAAAACATCTGCTAATAATGATCCTAATGGACTACCCATAGTAACCCCATCTGTCTGACAAAAGCACTCACCTTCAAATGTGAACTGGACTTTGTTAGTACATAAAAGTGGTAAATCTTTAAGAATTTTTAAAGGAACTGGTAATTTAAGGTTGTCCAAAGACATGTAGTTACATAGTATATCAATAGTCTTTTTCTAAAGTACATTTGTGAACAAGGAGTTCACGTCAATTGAACATATTGTATTTCTCTTGATATCAATATCACCTAAATGATCGACTAGTTCAAAAGAATCCTTCAGAGAATAATTGAACTTGGGAATACATGAACGTCTTCAGATAGGATCCAGCAATTTTATTAGCCATTTAGCTAGGTTATGTGTAGATGACGATTGGTTTCTGTTTCGTTGATGATTCCAATTCACCTTTACTAGAAATATATCTTAGCAAAAAGAATTGCATCAGAAGGGGTTTTGTGGATATTATAGTAATTTTAATATTTGAGATCATAAGTCAATTGGAGCTAGACCATCATGGAATTAGTTGAAATTAGACGTTAACACCGTTGGATGTTGGCTCAGTGGTCTAGAGGTTAAGCACTCACGCGCGAGGCTGATAGGTCCTGGGTTCGAATCTCGCAAGGCCGGATCGTGAATGAGCACTGCTGAGGAGTCCCGCAATAGGACAAAAAGGCCGTTCAGTGCTTCCAGGTTTTCCATGGTGGTCTAACTTCAATTGACTCATGATCTCATATATTAAAAAAGAATTGTAATTCCCTGCCGTTAATATAATCGATTGCATTTGGTCAGTCTCCTTTGAGGTATGCACTTATTGAATGAACACTGACATTGTTGTTATAGATACACATTTTTGAAATATTTAGATTGTTAGTAAGGGCCTTTGAGTTATATCTAAAAATTCCCAAATTATGGTCAGTATTCCTTATTCTTCTCATCTATTATCAACCCTAAATGTGTTAACAGTTCAGTATTAGTAAGTCTTACTTCACTTTTAATAAGATGCAAGCTATCTGCCACAAAGGCTCATTAGCTACTGAATATAATCTCACTATTTCATTAGTAATGCATGTCTTTACTGTAGATCGTAATTTAACAGCAGACATTTTTTAAATTCCAGTAAATGAAAACTAATGTTAAAATTCCTGGTTAAATTGTCTCAATAATATCATGACCATATGTTTACTGACATTGAATATAACTATGAGTGATATTATCATTGTATATCTGAGTATTACTGTGAGATGATAGTAAAATGTTTACCGAATAGTACTCCAATCGAACATGTTTTTTTAAATACACTACAATTTATTTGATAAGCGAAAGGGGAGTTTTAAATACATATATTTTTTTATAGCTGGTAAGATTCCGTTATGAGCTGGACTTTCCCCGTTAATCATAATCATCATAATTGAGCATAACCTACCTCATTCAGTGATTGAACTCACTGCTGATTGGCCGAATGTGTCCAGACATTTCATGAGACTGTGTCTATATGCCATTTGAAATCCAAACGGTAAGTAAGATGATAAACAACCCACGCTATTTCATAAAGCCTGCATATTCTTTTTTAGATCCGAAGGATAGATGCACTTATACCTATGATTCCTATACATTATCCGGTTTGCCAGCTACAAACTCCTGTTTATTTCTCAGTATTCTCTCACATAGTATGTTAGGTAAAAGTGTAGTGAGCGGTCAAGGAACACAACAGTTACCATCACTCATATAGCTATCTCCTTTGTTTGGAACCCTTCAGTGACAGGTGATAATATTTAGAACACATTGTAAAGAGAATAAAGTTTTAGATTAATTGTAATAATGTATTGTGCAAAACCTTCATTAACTAACCAAATGTAATGTTATGATTTTTATTCAACATTTTTTGCATTCACTATAGAGATATATTATCGATCGGGGTTGGATGTTTAAGCTCTGGTCTTTGGCTCCTCTCTGTCACATTATTCACTTTTCTTCATGCTCATGTTTTTATTTATGAAATACCTGATGATAATATCGATGAACACCAAGATGTGGTTACTAGGAGAAAAGAGGTAAGATTATATTATAATATTATACCGAGAATATTAAACAAATGCATCCAAAATGCAGAGAAAGGCCCTGATTCTTTAATGTGCATTTTCTTGAGTAGATTACCCAACTTTTTAAAAGCACATTCATGATTATATTTTCAATATAACTCTGAAATAAAAGACGAAGTGGCTTGACATCAAAGCTAAATATAGACGTTTAAATAGAATACTAAATTTCTTACCGATGTGAACATTTAGTCAATATGTGGTGCTCAAATAAGATGGTCCCGTTAAGTATGTACAATAATAAAATGAAGTTACTTCAGTCATAATTTTTATATAATTCTTCCCTATAAATCCAAACTATTATTCCAACACTGTCGTTTATTGATGCATGATTTTACAATAGAAAGAAGAGCTTGTGAAAGAGTTAACCAATTTATTTATCTTATGAGCCTCAAATTCATCTTCATATCGTGAATAACAAAGTTTATGTGATACAGACAAAATATTTGACTGTATAACTGTTTAATAGTTGCTATCTTTTAATGAATCTCTAGATAATGTCAGTTCTTGTTGAAAATCCATCGAATACTTTTTTAATTTCAATGTGAATGACTTTTCTTAAACGTTAACTCTAACACTAAAATTTGATTTTATAATAAATCCTATACGATCAATTAGACTGAGTTTATCCAGAATGTTTCCAACATTCAACTAGTGTATTGTGTTCAACAGCAAAATCTATTATTTTACGTTACATTAATAAGTGATTACTAAATAATAGAGTGTAATTTTCATTAAAGATTTCATCCGATATACTGGTCAGTTCTACATTAGACGACATGTTCATACCAGACAGTTTCAGATAACTCAACATGCTTGAAATGAAATTTTTGATGAAAATTATCGTCTAATATCTATCAGTCATTTACTGAATAAATGAGGAAATAATTGAAAATACTCAAGAAACACTAGAAACATTAAGGATAACCTCAGGTGATCAATTAACATAAAACTAAGTCGTTTGATTATAACTTTGTTTAAATTTATTCACCTTTTTTTTAATTATCATAATCTATTCAATTGATGAATGAGAACAAACTTCTTTTTGTTTCTATTTATTAAACTGTAATTTACTTCTTTTCAATTAAAAATATTTCTGATTCGTATTCCCTCTCTTTTTTTCTACAAATTTTTCATCTAACCGAAAAACATATTTGTATCTTTAAAACATGAAATTAATACAAAATAATTCTATTTATTGATTTATCCTTTTAAATGGACAATAAAATTAACTGTTCTAAGTAAACTATAAACACCGACTTTTCTCTTGCATAAATACTCGTTTCCATCGCTTGAATTTATCTATTAAAGTTACTATAAACACTGTTTGGTTATAATGTGTTAATCAGGGAAATTTTGACAATAAATTTATTTAGGTATTTAACGATTCTACTATTGTTGTTGCTCAAAGAAATGTCACACATCATAGACTGATAATATATGACAGTCTCCTTGAATATCTGGGCTACCTGTTTCTGCCATCTGATTATTTCAATAAGTTATCTATTTTTTCGTTTGTTTTAACTTATCATTATGTCCATTAATCGCATAACCTATTCATGCACTTTTATGAAAAGCCTACGACCTTTCGCTGCACAGGTTACAAAAAAGTACTATAAAAGACATCGTGGTGGTTGGCAATATGCGTTAAGGAGAATAAATATTAATCGTATGTCGATTCCCGAGCTGCTAAATTCTAACTGCCGATCACTAATCAACAAAGTGGACTATCTGCAATTCCTACTAAGTCAAAATATGTATCGTAATTGTGGTGTCATCACAATTCCAGAATCTTGGTTAAATGATTTACAGGATGACTGCCTAGTACCACTACGTGACTTCAAAATTTATAGTCAGGATCGATCAAACAATAAAAAGAGGTGTGGTGGCGGTGTAGCTACGATTGTAAACGTAAACTGGTGTCGATCTTCGTTTATGTGTTTTAAGTTTTCAAATGACTTTATCGACTGTCTAACTCTAAGATGTCGTCCAAAACATCTGAATAAATACAAATATGTTTATGTTACCAATATCTATGTGACTCCAGATTGCACATCATCTGCACTATCTGTTTTCGCTGATGAATTCACTGAGTTCGCTGTTATTGCCTTCAGTGTTTCACTTTCAGTTGTATGTGGTGATTTCAATTCATGTGACTGTAGCTTCCTTAAGTCACTAGGTCACCAGAACGTAGTAGATTTTCCTACTCGTTTGGATGCTCATTTAGACTTCGTTTCCATTAATGATGTGGATATATATGTGACTCGTAAACGTGCCCCATTGTCTGGTTCGGATCACTGTGTAATTTGTGTTCTACCTAAAGTATATGGAAAGCATGGGAAGAGTACACTCTTACATCAGACCAAGAAAGTCAAATATAGGAATTACTCAGAAGAAAATATCCGAAATCTGAAAAACATGTTTCATACGACAAACTGGGAATTATTTACAAATGACTCACTGGAAAACACTACTGATGCTATCACTTGTTACCTTAAATTCTGTTCTGATATTTGTTGTCCCACTGAAACCATTTTTGTAAGATTTGATCGACTTACATCTACACAACTAAAACGACTACGAAAGATGAAAGAAAGAATGTACAAGGAGAAGAACTCTAATGAAGTTCGTAAGCTAAATGGTCTGATAAACCTAGAGATTAGACGTCTCAACTGTATGTTTACTTAAAAACTCTTGTCTTGCAAAAACTCTCCAAGTATGTGGAAACTCTTTAAAGAACTTACAGGTGACAGACAGTTTAGAAACGATAACCAGCTGAATGTTTGTGACTTAAATAAGTCTTTTGTACGTCAGTCATCTGATGTGATGCTCCCTCTATCCACGGGTTTAAATAATAGTTGTGTTCCTACTTTCACTGAAAATGATGTACGAAGATGTCTCCAGACGCTTAATTCATCTCGATGTTTGGGACCTGATGGTATCCCAAACCTCTTTTTTTGATGTGCTGACGTCCTATGTTATCCATTCTCATCTAATCTCATACGGAAAATGTGGAGAAAGATGAAGATAATCCCTGTACCCAAGAAAGCATCTGGTGATAAGAATGTAAAGTTTAGACCTATTGCAATAACTTCACCCTTCCTCAAAACAATGGAAAAATTATTAATACTTCCACTTTAGCCTGCGACAAAAGAGCATATTGATCCATATCAGTCTGCTTGCAGACGCAAAGAAGCACTTTAGATGCTGTTGCTGTTCTGCATCACAACATAGTGTTCAACTTAGAAAAGGGTAAGAAGTATGTTCGATGTGCTTTTCTGGAATATACTTCAGCTTTTGATTCTATACCAAGACAACGTTTAATTAACAAGTTAATCAGCATCAGCACTGACAGCTGGATAACCAACTGGTTATGTTCCTACCTCTGTGGAAGGGAATAGTACACTGTGTTTGGAGGAAAGTGTTCAGAGTCTCTACTATCTCATGAAGGTGTACCACAAGGAGCTGTTTTTTCACCTCTTCTTTACTCTTTTTTTCTACATGATCTGCCATCTTCCACAGAAAACACTTTTTTGAAATATGCGGATGATCTCACTGTATGTATGCCTATCTCTTCCTCTTTACATCCCATAGAAATGAATGAGTTTTTGTCTCGTATTGATTGTTGGTCTGTTGGTAATGGTCTCATACTTAATCCGTCTAAATGTCAAGCTGTTAACTTTAGCATGAGACATGAACGGAATCTAAACACCATTTTGAGATCCCATAATGCTTGTGCTATTGGAGACTCTTTGATAAACACAGTGTCGAAGGTCAATTATCTTGGTGTTACCTTTTCCTCTGATCTGTTTTGGTCTTCCCACGTTTTATTGTTGTCAAAGAAGGTTTCCGTTTGACTTACTACATAAAGAGATTGCATGCTCTTAGGATTACTCGTCATTTACCATTACAATTTGTCAATTCTTGCATATTACCCATTATTCTTTCCCGGGCTTTTGAGAAAAGACTTTGCTGTATTGTGGAGAGTGCTGAAGGCAGTTAGCAAGATGTGTGGTGAATCTTTCGAGGTCATAATTAATATGATTGTGGATAGACATTTAAAATCATACAAACTCCTGACATGTGTTATTTTATCAGATACTAGCCATCCCCTTCACGCTTATCTTTCTCCTTGTATATCTTCTGGTAGAACGAGACGTAATTACATCAAAATGCATGCACGCAAGCAAAAGTATAAAAGTTATATAATACCTTACCTAGTAAATATACTCTGTGACGAACAGGTTGTTAGAGTCAATAACTTACATTCTTAACATGTCCTTAATTTTAAAAGTTGTACAGTTTTTCGGTTTGTTTTTTTTTAAAAAACCGTTTTCATTTTTTTTGTATTTGTTACTGTTTTTTGTTGTTGTTGCGTAAGTAACTTGTTGAAATAACTTGTTCTGAGAATTCTATATTGTACCAAAATATAATATTGAATAAAGCCGTTAATAATAATAATAATAATAATAATAATAATAATAATAATAATACATGAACAGTGTTAGAAAATATCGTGAATGCTGAACAAATATAACTTGTCAGCAGTTATTAAATAACACTCACCTTGCCAGATATTGCAAATCTATCCCTTGATCATTCAAATCTTCAGGTATACACATTAAAAATGAGCATTCAGTGCTCCGCGTCATAGAATTCAGGTCATGACGGCATTGATTGACGGGCTGAGCCCTGTTGACTACTAGTTTGTACATACATTCTATTGGGTTGTGGAGATTTTTTAATTTCATTGAAATCACGAATTAATCTAAGTTAGAACACTATTGAAAACCTACAAGCACTGAACGGCCGTTTCTTCCTAATACGGGACTCCTCCGAATCGCCCATCCATGACCCGACATTCGGGGCTCGAACGCGGAACCTATGTCTTGCCTTGGATCCCAAATTTCAAAAACGTTTCGTACTTTTTATTCCGTGAATTCATTCACGCTTCTCAAATCATATTATGTCTAATCTATTCCATAACTGTTGATAATGTTACTACTTCTACTACTCTGCCATGATTTGTCTTAATAATATTTTTTTCTGTGTTGACACTGTGTGGCATATATGTGCCGGGTTCTACGCTGCTTGTGACTGACTGCTTTCAGTCAGCTCATTATGTTACGAGATTATCAATCATTCAGTGTTATTAGTAATAACTATGTTCATTCATGACACTTGATTGAACTCGAGCAGTTAAATCTAATTTACTATAAGTGAAACTGATTTGTCTAACTGAAAGATACAATTTCCGAGGTGGAAAGCCATTGAAATTGTGAAGTCTACAATTATTATTTTGTACTTAATTGAATAAGTTTTCAAATAATTTATTGTTTTTCTATGGTTGGAGGTAATCAACCTCGGGTAGCTCATTAGTACTCCCAGGCTATGAAACTGAGTGACGCAGTTCCGAATCTTAAGGAGAGCATCTATCATTTGAATATTGTAGGTGCACGTAACCGACGAGTGCCAACTAGCACGAAAACTGAGTCAATTAAGGTTTCTTGTCGACTACCCCCAGCCACCCTACATTTCAACGCAATCCATGTTATATCAACTAGCTTAGACTAATGACCAGATTACAACTTAATCGATAGAATTAGATATGCAATAAAAAGGATTTGATATAAATTACATTGGTCACTACCCAGCGATCAATCAATATAACACATTGTAAAGTTTGATCTCATACTTGCTATATATGGTATTATTTTATGACTATTAAGTAATTAGATTATTTATATTTACATTCATTTTATCATAAGCTCTCATTTGACCCATAAACTACTACTGTGGTGTGTGATACTGATGTCGGCAGATATCAGTAGTATGTATCACCAAACGAAAGTGGAGTGTCTGGAGGCAGAAGGTTGAGAAAATTGAAGAAAAGAGAATGAAAACAGAGAGCGATTGGTGTGGAAACGAAGGAACAACAAAGTCGGAGGCAATTAATTGACATTTTTCAAATGAAGTATTACTGTATATTTTCCAGATTTTACCATGATATTCTGTAAGGTTGTATTAGAATGCACTTGGTTGTCTTCGCCTGTGTTCTCGTTCACTACACTACCATGCAATTTACTGTTCTTAGTCTATTGCCAGTTTATTATTCAGTCTTATCTACTTACAGCCACTTCTGTTGTGTTTATTTACA